CTGATCCCAGTCCTTCTCCTGGTATTTGTCACAGCAAGATGGTACTAGTGAATCAGATGATTACAGAGATGCTGAGCCTGACTCTCAGGACTCAGATATTGCTAGTGATGAACTACCACCAGGTGATGACTTGGAAGAGGATGAATTGCCTCCTAGAATCAAGAAACCTCCTATTTGGCATAAAGATTACATCACAACAGTCAACCAGATCAGCCAATACTGTATGGATAACTATGTTTCTTACCATCAGTTTACCCCATAGCAGAAGAGATTTGCACTGAGTTTGACAGTTCTCATGGATCCACAAACCTACAAAGAAGCAGCAAAAGAACATCACTGGATCAAGGTAATGGAGGAGGAACTGAATGCACTGCTTGAGAATCATACATGGGATCTTGTTACTCTACCAGCTGGAAAGAGAGCCATTGGCTGCAAATGGGTGTACAAGACAAAGTTAAGGCCAGATGGAGCCATTGAAAGATACAAAGCAAGGCTTGTGGCTAAGGGGTTCACCCAGATTTAGAATATATTTTCTGGATACCTTTTCACTAGTTTCAAAATTAACACAATGAAGACACTTCTGGCTGTTGCAGCAGCTAAGAATTGGTGTTTACATCAGATGAATGTCTCCAATGCATTTTTGCATGGAGACTTGGATGAAGAAGTATACATGACACCACCACCTAGATTGGAAGGAAGTGAAGGGAAGGTCTTTAGACTGAGGAAATCATTATATGGCTTTCAACAAGCCAGCAGGCAATGGTTTGCCAAACAGAATTGTTCTATACTTAAGAATGGTTTTTCTCAGTCAGCTTCTGATTACTCTAGTTAACCAAGAGAGTTCAAGGCAGGTTGGTTGTATTACTTGTTTATGTGGATGACATTATCTTAGCTGGTGAGAAGCTTGATGATCTAGAGTTAGTCAAGCTTTATTTGAAATGAAGTTTTAAGATCAAAGACCTTGGAGTGTTGAAGTAATTTCTGGGGCTCGAAATTGTCAGAAATGGAGAAGGCATTGTGGTCAATCAAAGGAAATATTGCACTGAACTGCTAGAAGACACTGGTTATTTAGAAGCAAAAGAAACACAAACTCCCATTGACATGAAAGTGAGGCTGAGCTCCAGAGAAGGAACTCCAATTGATGGTCCAAATTGTTACAAAAGACTCATTGGGAGGTTGCATTATCTTACCATCACTACGCCAGATATATGTTTTACAGTTCAGCAATTGAGTCTGTTCCAAGGGAATCCTTTGGACACACATATGCAGGTTGCCTTGAGGGTGCTCAGATACTTGAAGAAGTCACCACTCACTAGGGCAGGGCATTATGTTTAGAAGAGACACAGATTATTCTGTTACAGGGTATAGCGACTCTGATTGGGCAGCATGTCCCGATACAAAGAGTTCCATCACAGGGTTCTGCACCTATTTTGACAATTCACTGCTTACATGGAAAAGTAAAAAAAACAAACCACAGTTTCAAGGTCCTCTTCTGAAGCTGAGTATAGAGCCTTAGCATATTTGGTTTGTGAGATTCACTGGATGAAAGGACTTCTGTCAGAGCTTGATGTCAAAGTTTAGGTCCCAATTACAGTTTATTGTGACAACAGGTCAGCCATTCATATAACTGAAAACTCTGTTTTCCATGAAAGAACTAAACATGTCAAGATCGATATGCATGTTACCAGGGAAAGGATCAAGACTGGTTTGATCAGATTGCGTCACCTCCACACTACAGATCAGTTAGCAGATATATTCACCAAGGGTTTGAGTAAATTCAGGTTATTGGAGTTGCTTGGCAAGATGGGAGTAACAGATGTATACTCTCCATCTTGTGGGGGCCTATTGAATGATCCACGAGGATCTGATTCGAGAAGAACAGCAGCTACAGCTGTTGCACACAACAATCCTAGTCAACTCAGAATTTATGGAAGTTGGCAGAGTCGAGATGGACTCAAGTGGAAGTCTTTACAAGTTTGGAGCTAGAATGGCACTTCTCCATACAATGTCGTTTTATTTGTTTTATTCTTTAATCTGTTAAACACGGATTGGGTATAAAATAACAAATCCTACCAAGCCACGTGTCGGGCTCTGGTTTAAAGGATTCAAACAACGGTTAACATTGTATGTTATCTCTTCCCCCCTTTTCATATAAATAGAAAATCCCAAAAGAGAGGACAATTGTTTTCTACTGATCCTCCACCCCATTCCAGTCGCCTCTTTTCATACTTCATGTCATCGATTTCCTATTGCTCCTGATTGCTTAGATCTGGCCTTCCTCAACAATGATAACCGCTCACCCATCTCCTAGCTAGCTAGCACTTATATGTGGTTCTCACTTTTGCTTAATGTTTGCAGGTTGTTTAAACAGTTCATGTAACAAACATTCATGTTAGTACTGGCATATGTGGAAAATGTTTGCAAGTTAGAGTATGGGTTGCTCTTGCTCATTTATATTATATATGAGCCTTTCTGATTATTGGCTTGCGATGGGTTGATAATGAGGCGAGTTATTGCCTAACACTCTTATATGTGTGTGAATTGTGAACTCAAAATTTAATATGTTGTGTGCAGGCAAGACTGGCTTGTGTTTTGAACATATAAAATGGGACATAGGAAGTAAATGACCCTTCATTCGATGCAAGGACAACAACAACTATGGAAGCACAATCAATAATAATAACGATTGAGGGATGCATTTGGATGAGGATTGTTAGAATATAAATTTAAGCTATGTATTTGATAATGTATTTCATTTCGTGTATTGCATTGCACACTCAATTCTTCTATTTAATTTATTTAATCTAAATTAATAATCCAACAAGTGTGCCCATTTTTAAGAGACAAATATAAGTATCATAATAAATAGATTATTTGTATCTAAAAAAGAAATACGCACAAAAATATTTGCCTCGAGTTATGTTTATTAGAAACAAATATTTATGTCTCTACAGATTTCCTTAGAAGCAAATTTAATTGTCTCAAAAACTAAACTTACAAACAAATGCATCTCTCTCTACAATTAAATAAGGAAAGGAAAATATGCTTTTAAAAATAAAAATGCCAACAAATTTTTGTGCCTCCAATTCCATTAATAGAGATAGATTTTATTTGCATCTATATTTGTCTTAAAAGGAATACGAGACATAGGCAAATGATGCAAATAATGTATCTGCATCCAAAGACATACAAAAACAAATAAGTGACATTTAAACGCAAATAATTTCCTTCTCCAAAACATAATTTTCTTGTAGTAGGCGTCGTTGTTCGAGATGAAGGGTCCTTGACGTGCCTTGAATGGGTGGCGAAAGTAACAAAAGAATCTTCAAAGACTGATATGGAGGATTGGAGCTAGTATGCTTTTATAGATGTTGTTGAAAGAGAGGAATGCACACTTATTTAATGGAGAGAATATGGACGAGTCGGAGATCGTTCCCCGCGCTCAGTCGTTGCTTGACGAGTATATGTTCAGGCAAACTCGTGAATGGATGTCCCCGTTTGCATCGCCGTCGAAGACATGGAAGTGGCCAAGCTAAGGGTATATCAAGGTGAATACCGACGTGAGGATTGATCTAGTTGGGGCATGTCTGGGGGTTGTCGTGCGTGACCACCAAGGTCGATTTCTCCTGATGGGAGCAAAGCGAATTAAAGGTATGAAGGAGGTGGAGCTCGGTGAGGCCTTAGCACCTAAGTTTGGGATGATGCTTGCCTGCCAACAATAGTTGGGAACCCTGGTTCTGGAAATGGGCTGCTTGAACATGGTTAAGGCTATTCGCGAGGCAAAAGAAGTGGAAACAGAACTTGGCATTATATGTCGTGAGGTGAGAAAACAACTGGACTTAAAAAGGAGGTATAATGAGGCATGTTTTTCAGGATGCTAATGTGGCGGCTCACATAATGGCACACTCAAAGAAAAGATGGGATGCAGTGGAAGTCTGGTTTGACGACTGGACTACACCTTCATGTATCCGGTCTCTTGCAATTCAAAATGTCTAGGCCAACACATTATGACTATCTAACAATTGATGCAAGCCTTGAACTATGGACTCACGTAAAGGGTTTATATCCCACTCGATTGAGAAAAAATCGAGGCGGTTGCGTACTTCATTGTAAGTGTCATAAATATACAATTGCGCATACTTGGGGTAGCTTCTTCAACTGAAACCAAACTCCTAATACGGTGGTAAATTTGACCATCAATCAAATATATGTAAACCCCGCTCTAATGATTTAAAGCATGATCAACTTTTCCTTCAAGTGAAGTAAAATTGAAAACAACATTATAATTTTGTATATACTCATGAAAGTCGGAGGACTCACTTTCAAGTAAATCTTCTAAGAACTATGGGAAGTCTTCTGCTAGGTTAAAGTATAACATTCTCTTTTTTACATCACATGGAAAAAATAACAAAGGTAAATAATGTGTTGTGTTATTAATTACCATCATTTGTGGTCATAACTCGGTTGTTCGCCCGTTTTACGGTATGCAGCGAAAGCCTTTTATTCCTTGTAGCCTTGGCAAGTTTAGTGTAATGGTTTTTAGTTGTCCTTCCAAGTTCCAACGCTTCAGTCTCTTCTTCACATTCACGGTTGATCTATAATAATTCAAATAAAATTATATTTATACATAGCTAATTACAATTGATGTACCACAACACGGACTCACATATCTGGTATGAGTTTTCTGGTTTATTTTATGATACTTGTAGTCCACACATATATTTTTGGGTAAATACAATTTAATATCCAAACCTTTCATTTTAAACAATATAATAGCCAAACCTTTTCGAAAACAATCTAATATCCAAATCGTCAACTTGTCGACGCGAGATTTGCCTAAAATGTTACAATTAGCATTAAATCGAGTGTAAACGCCTCCAACATAAGAAGTTAGCAAAAAGAAAGTTTCTTTAAGATTGGTATTAGACCATGCTAGAAAATTAGGTGTTGACACCCTAACTCCAGCCGCCCGGGCTAGAGGCCAGGTTCAACTGCCTGGTTCGACCGGCGGGGCCAAATCCGGGTTAACAACCATTCTTCCTCTTCGAGTCCTCTGCTTTCCTCCACTCTTTACAACGCTTCCCAAATTCCAACATCACCTTCTTCGCCAAGTCGTTCTCTTTTTTCACAACCTTCTGCATGAAGCACCTTAATTAAAGATACTAGTCCACCTTTACTCTCAGGATCCTATGTCGTCATCTGTATATATACATATCCGCGGATCCGCTCCTGAGGTGCCACTTGAACGGAGAACGATTGAAAACCCTTCTGTAGTAATCCACAGCAGGAAATCGCTTTTACTCACAGGTAATTTTTATGCATCTCCGCTACTCCACTTTATTCCTTTTGATCGGAACTTGGATTTGGTACGGTTTAATCGCCTCCGGGGTTTTAGTTTCCATCTGGTTTTACTGGGTTAGCCCCTTTCTGGGTTTTCGCAAGAAAGTTCGTATCTTGGCACCGAAATGTTCAATTGAGTTGATTGCATGTTTTGTTAATTTCGTTGCAATTATGATAGGTGAGATTTGCTGTTTGGTTCGTTGATGGCTCGTTACATTCCTCCAAACAAGCGGCACTCGGTGGAAAGTGGGAGGAGAGCACCCCCAACTCCAGAAGCGTTTGCTCTCCAGTTCAGGAGAAATCTCGATTTAAGCCCGAATTCTAGCATTGCTAGAAAGACTGGAAAGATTATTTACGCTAACAATTCCATATCTAGATGGTTTGCCGTTGGTTTGGATGATGAGCATCAATTCCCTCCTAACATTTGGCTAAAGCCAGTTTTCTTGGAGTCCATTCAGCGCAGAGAAGGAGAAACACCTCTAATCTTAGTTAATGATAAGCATTCATCTGCAGGTTAGTGTTATATGAAATCCCCTTATTCAGATTCTACGACCATTACAACGATACACTTTGTGGTTTTTAATCTCCCATATGATGCAGAGAGTGAAGGAGTAGTACCAAGATGCTTGAGAACTCCATGGGACGTCATAGCTGCAGATGTGTTGGAGGGTTTGCTTTCTTCTTTCCGGATATTGAGGTCTGAAATGGAGGCTCAGAGATTGGAGAAGATAAAGCCTACGCTAGTGGCTAGATTTGGCAAGATTGTTTTCCGCGAGTAAGCTATGGATATTCTATAGAACTTATTGCCTTCCGTTTGGTGCCACTTCATTTCGCTAATCATCTCCATGTGTTACTACTGCCTTTCTGTGTATGTGTGTGAATCAAATATTAGATTGTAGGAATGTTCTTACTGGTTTGTCTGGAATGAATTCAAGTGCTTTGTTCCGTCGATTAGGATGTATTTTGAAACATGTCATTGATAGTTGTGTTCCTTGCTTGGCTAGTGCTAGCCAAATTATGATAGGAAAGTTTCCATGTATATTTTAGCCTGGGTTTGTGTAACAACCATATAATGATGATATCATCTCTATATAATGCAGAAGCCCATCAACGAGGCTTGTAAGTATTTGTCAAAGAAAAAGGCTTGTAAGCATAGGAAGTGATCAGCAGCTGGAAGATGCATTGATGAGATCAAAACGCACATTCTACACGAATCTTCCCTCTTCTTATGTGGATAGTGTTCTTGATCAAGTTGTCAACCCTGAGATAGGGTTGGAGTTTGAGGAGCAGAGGGATATATACCATGTCAAGGTAGTTTCTTCCCGACGCTACTTTCCTGTTTTGTACTAGAACTCTTGAAATAACCCATCCAACCTGGGTTGATTCTGCATTAATTGCTGATATTGGTGATTTTTTCCCATGTGCAGTTGTCTGATAACAGAAAACCTGATGCGACTCTCTCTTGCAAATGTACTGTGAGGGAAGAAGATAAAAAGCTGCAACTGCACAAGGCATGTTTCCATATGCTGCAAAAAAAGAAGATTTTTTTTTTCTGACAACCTTTAATGACTCACTGTTCAAAGTTCATGTTTATCCTTGTAGTTCATCTAGATCCCCTAACCTACTTGTTTCACCTTGGCTTTAGGTTGAATTGAACCAAGTGCGGCAGATGGTCACAGACATATCGTGTCTCGATAAGAACATAGACCTTCGGCTAATGCTATGCTCCAAGAGGATCTTGACATCTCTTACAGTAAGCTTCTTGAAGGACCATATCAAACCCCACTTCTCGACAATTTAGTTGATTCAAACTCATTTTTACGGACTTTGTTTTTTATACAGGACGATGAGATGAGCAGCATCCAAGAACTTATCGACTGTGCAGTCGTAGAGGCAGATGTGAAAGGTGGGCTGAAATGGCCACTGGGGAAAAGAATGTCTTCTGGAGATAGGTACAGCGTTGTTGGGGTGTGGCACACAGTCCATAAAGCTTTTAGTAACACATCCCTCAGGCTTAAAGTTAGGGATGCCGATCGGTTCGATTTCATGAAAGGCACCGGGGAAGCATCAAGGGAAGTGTATGTGAAGTTGAAAGGGGTAGCTGCAGAGTTATCACAGGCAAGTTTCTGTTGTGTGATGTGATGTTTAGTGGAGTTGCATTGTGCATGATCATGTTCTTGGACTCTTAATAATTTTGTTTCGTAATGTTTCGGAAACAGGGAGTGGAAGCTGAACGTGTGTGCAACATGCTTAAAGCCAACTTAAGAGTGATATGGTTGCATTTCCTCTCCTGCGAGAGCTTCCTGTGAATGCTGTTGATTAATCCGAAATGGCAGTAATGTCAGATGTATGGATTCGAAGGATGTGACTATTAAGCAATACCAGAAGAAGGATAAGTTTAGTTCTTGTCATGTTGTTTTGTATAAGCAATGCAAGTATTGATAGTAGTAAGCTATATCGTGATGTAGTAAGCAATGCAAGTAATGATAGTATAACCTTGCAAGCTGTTTTTGGCTGCATGAATAATATGCTTGTTGGTGCAATGGTGGAAGTGATCCATGTTACCATAATTTTCGACTTGTGAGTTGCCCAACCTGATGTGCCGGCTTGTTTTGGTAGGGTGGATATGGCATATGGGTATTTAGTCTTGACCTGGCTCATTCTCAATCCATGTACTTGTGATCTATGAATATCAATATGTTCAAATGTCAAAATGTAATACTCGTTACTGAACTTCTATTTAACGCACTAAAAATGTCATATATGACAAAAATAATATGAGGCTTTCCGAAGTCCCAACATGGCAACACACTGACACAGGGTCCTGATTGCAAATTTCAGGAAGTTACAGGCGATAAATTGTGAATCCTCTAATATTCCGGGATCGGATTGCAACTTGCAAGAGAAAAGTGTAAACGATTAAACGATACCGCGAGGAGATGATCGTGAAACTGTTTCCAGGTCGAAGACCAAAGAGGTGGAAGCTTCACCAATTTCCCCAACTATGAGACCCATTAATCTCTCAACATCCAATCCCATTTCTTCACTGATCACTCCTCTGACGCATGCTAATCCAATCCCATTTCCCAGACTCTCAATTCTTCCTTCCCTTTCCTTAACCCACCCTCGCCAATCCTTCAATCGGCCTCGCTTCATCGCTCTCCACGCTTCGGATCCCACAAAGCGATCCGATACAATCGACGCAGTTCAATTCGACCGCAACTGCTCCAACGAAGTTCTGGGTAGCGAGGACGGACCCGGTACGAATTTGAACGTGCAAGTGGGTAATGCTCTAGTTCCTTCTTTTATTCACCCAGGGATGAAGCTCAGCTTGACCGATCAAGCCTTCTTCCTCTTCACGTTCGCCGCTTGCACGGTAAAATTTCCAGACTTTACCCTTTCACTCCCCAACCAACAGTCGTTTCTTTCTTGTGGGTCTTGCCCAGTTTTCGTTTTTTCGATTGTTTTGTGGGGTTTCATGTGGAAATGGCGGATTTGGTTCTAATTGCAGACATTTGTAGCATTCACAAGTCTCGTTGTAGCTGCTGTTCCAACGCTTCATGTAAGTTTTGATCATTTTATCATATCCGAATGCTGATTATAGAAATATGGAACATATCTCTTGAGGATTTTTGGTTTTAGCCTCCGAACTTTCTTGTCACGGCAATCAAGTAGCTGATTGCTTTCAGAATGGTCTGATTCTTCTCTAGGCAACGAGGAGAGCTGCATTGTCTCTTTCAAAGCTTGCGGATGCAGCTCGTGAAGAACTACCGAGTACAATGGCTGCCATTCGCTTGTCGGGCATGGAAATCAGCGATCTAACACTCGAATTGAGTGACCTCAGGTGCGGAATATCGCACCATCCTTATCAATCTGATTAGCTAACTTTACCTAAGGGTTCCAAATTCACTTGAATGCCCTTATGTGCTAGTCTGCTACTTGCAATTGGTCAATTAAGCCTGTTTTGGGAAGAAAAGGTAGATGTGTTTGGCCTATTTGCTGAAAGGACTGCCTATATCTACTATGTGATATCAGCCTGCCTGCTTCATAAGCAGAGAGTAAACTCATGGTGATTTCTAGTAAAAGAGTAAACATTTACTTTTGTTTCTTGGATTTTCCACAGCCATGAGATATCGGATGGAGTGAACAAATCAGCTCAAGCTGTTCATGCAGCAGAAGCTGGAATTCGACAGATTGGTACACTAGCTCACCAGCATACAATCTGTGAGTTCCACAAATCACCTTCCTCTGTCCACTTACAGTTTTTTATGAAAACCAGTGATGTCTTTTCAATTTCAATTGATTACCAATTTTTTTTCCCTATGGTTGTTCTTTGTGTGTTATGCAGCAATGATTGAAGAGCGAGCAAACCTTCCTGTCATCTCACTTCAACCGGTTGTGGTCGGGGCAGCAAAGAAAACTTCTCATGCAGTAGGTCAGGCGACCAAGAGCTTCCTTAATCTCTTCTCTGGAGGGCAAAGGGAGAACAATGGAATTGATAGGGTAGAAATGTAAAAGTAAAACCAGCCTCTTGTTTTACTGCTCCAAGTGAACTTAAGGTTTGTTCTTTCTCTTTTGCACATAAACGATAGAGAAAAATAGAACACAGAATTCCACACCTAGCTTCTCAAATCCGTTTGTTTTATGCAAATCTTATACAACTTGATATTCCCTTTCTTCGTCCATTAGTTATGACATACCAAAGTGTTTTTCCATTTGATCGTTGTGCGTATAGTTCTAAGTATCTATCCTATACCTGACAGTACCATTGGAGGACTGAAGATCTGCTTTTGCTGGATGTAGATTCTTGTTGTCTTTTAATTCATCTTAGATAGACGGATTTGTTGAAACAATTTGAGGACTGGAATATAATTAACCATTTAACCTAGTAGTTCAGCTTATGAAAATTTTAAGAATCATAGTCAAACGGGGAAATAGAGAGAACACAGATAAAACTAAAACCGTTCTTATATTTGCTACATCACAGGCTCCAAGAACACCTAGTTACAACTGCAATGAAAAGAGGAAAATGACCAGCTCCATAACCAAGAAACTGGCAATGGTGTCATTTAATTCCTGACCAGCTCCACCCTCATCTGCTGATCCCCTGCGTCCACTTCAGTAACATGCCCACCACCATAACCACTGTTGCCTTCTTCCTCCTGCATTGTCTTTCACAGTCCGCAACCTTGTTTGCAGTATTTTTGTAAATAACGTAAAGTTCCAGCTGAGTAATCCCAAAGAGGAACCCTAACATATATTGCAGATGCCATATACCAACACACCATTCCATATAAAAGCTGAATGAACTGGGTACTTGTGGTTTAGGGTTTCCTACTACTGCAATGTATTAGTTGTTGATCAGAAGTCTGTAGAAGAACAAAGCTACTGCACACAGTGTAAGGAAGAACGGCAACGAAAGTGGCCATGTACACCATGCTCTTGGTCTTTATCATGTTTCTCTGCGCCACATTGTCATGATTGATCATCAAAGAGCTCCAAAATTGTGAACATTGGTAATGGTGAAACGGGGAATTGGCCACCATAGTCGAGGTGGTTGAGGTGTTGAAATCATCATACCACTCAGCTCAGTGGTGAAGCAAAGGCGACTCGTATTGAAGATGGCATATATCAATCTAACGGTATTCACCCTAGTGGCTCCATGGACCATAAACACGGTCACTAACATCATCAAGCAGTATCCTCACAGGGAAGAAAGCAGAACCTTCAGGGTGAACATCTGGCTGTATGCAGTACAGCGTCAATCTTTCTGTAGGTCAGTAATCTTTCAAGCATTATCCTCACAGGGAAGGATAGTGACACTGACCAATTCTTTCTTTGGTGAGTACAGAAGATCAAGAACTTCAATGGCACGTCCTATAGCGTTGATGGTGATGACTTGGGCTGCATTTGTTTTGAGCACTTTACGGTATAACAGCATTGCGCTCATCAGTGCTGTGAGGTTTGGTATGGACTACTGAGTGGAACTCGAACCCTCGTGAGATTTATTCTGGCAGATTGTGTAAAATGTCGGCCTGTGTTTACAAATATAGCCACAGATCGAATAAAAAGATGCACATAGAATCAATCTACAATGTTATAACCTCGGCGATCACGACAGAGCTATATGTTCGAATCGCCTTCTCACATGAGTTTACCAGGTATTCAATTGGATTGGGGTAGTAGCCTAAAAGGCTAAAATGCACCAGAATCCCCTTCATAAGAAAATACTAGAAAGTAGAAACCGGCTAACAGAGGAAGGGATATTTCAAGAGTTACACAGACAAGAGCCAAGAACACCAGGAAAGATGAGGTTACCTGAAACAATGTGAATACTGAAGGGGAAAATTAGAAAGCATCACAAAGGTTAGGGAATGTATCAAAAGACTGTATGTGTTATAATGTTAGTGATCAACTACTATTAGTTTACTAGAATCAATGCCCACAGCTACGGCGCGGGGACATTTTTTTAGTCATATTTAACATGTATATTCATTATGAAAATAGTTAGGAATTATAAAACAAGCATAATTTTTTTTTTCCAGTAAAAGTTTCTTGTCATGCAAGAAGTTGTACAGAGTTACCTTCAGACCCATGTAAACACTCTATTAGTTTGGACATGTTTAGAAATGAGACTCGTTATGAAGTAATCTTAAAATTATGTGCGAGTCACCTTATTCTACTCGAAAAAATGTTCTTTACAATAGTGAAAATAAACAAATAAAAGATGCACTCACTATCTATGGCGGTATTAAAAATATTTGTTAGTCATTTATCAATTTTTAATGAAGAAAACAAAGGTTACTGTGCTCTTTCCTTTCAAAGTCAACAAAACTACACACCACTTTTTTAACCGATGAGTCAAACTAACTAAAAGATCATAGCAAGTAATTCAGTTAGACATTAGTCCAACAGCAGGAAAGATAATATACTCCTCTCTCAGTCTCTCTCAGTTGCACTCATTCATTGGCAAGACCAAGCCCAACAGCAGCAGTTGTAGCCACAACATCAGGATCTATCAGTTTCTTTAACATTGCCTCCTCTCTGCCATGGTATACACAATTGCATATGAGATTCAAAACCAACATGGCACAATCAAACAAAAAAATTCAAAGTTAAGAGCCAAAGAAACTACACCCGAGTTGCAATGGAGTCAAGCTCATCAAAGAAAAGGATACATGGTGCAGACTGTCCAGCATTGTCAAAGATTTTCCCTGACATTAGCTTCACTCTCTCCAAATCACATCGTCAAGATCTCAGTTAGTTTGCTTTGCTACTGAGTTCATTACTGAATATACATTTGATAACGATGGACACTTCCCCCTCAGTGCTCACCAGTTTATTCGCATTCTTGGTCCAAGAAGACTGCATACCTGCCCCATAAATCAAGCCCCTATTAACACTACACAACAATTTACACATTAGCAAAATTCAAAGCATTGCCTTTCGCGAAATGGTGTTCTCACTCAATCATAGAGAACGATGTATTTACCTCGAAATCAAAGCAAGATCTAATCAACATTGCCTGCAACAATCTTATTCGTAACTCTCATGAACTCTAGCAGAGCCGTTTGCTCAATCTGCTTCCCTCCTGAAGGCATTGGGATTGAGTGATGAATAAATCTTCTCCTTTAATGAAAAAACAGTTGGCACGTCAAAGAGATTCTCAAATGAGATAAATAAAGCTAACTAAACAGCTAATAACATTTGCAATCTCGCAAAAAATGCAACCGCCACCTGTTTCTATGTATATTAGCCATTCATCAGTCCCACAGTTCTCGCGCAAAAAACTTCCATCTACTGGTGTACAATAATTAGGTGGCACTCTTGTCGCCTACAACTTGTACTATAACTAAAATATAAAAGCAGTTAATAGAGATGGGAGAGGGTTGGACACACCTCTATGTGCTCATACTGAAAAAGCTTGGTCATATGCACAAATAACAACATGGCTGTACAAAGAGCCACCATGAAGGGCAGCTGCGAACCCTTGATCCCACGTTTCCACTACATTTTCACATAAAAAACAGAAAAATAATTAAGAAACAATTCGTAAGAAATCAGAATCGATATTTCTTCCCATAATCCATTGGCTCCCATTCCATTACCCATCAAATATGGCATTTTGTATGAGTGATTTCCATGGCCTAAGAGACGTCATTGACAGCCAACCAGTCTCACTCCCACCTCTGCTGATGTTGTGCAACAATATAATTAGGAAGAATCCCAGAATGGGAGTAGGCTTTCTAATGGTGATCCAACAACATTTCTTCTGCCATCTGCAGGACTAAACATTGTTTAAGAGCAAGCAAATCCAAATGAACATGCCTAAAAACTACTTAACGACACAATTGCATGGATTCACGACGACACCAGAGCTCAACTGTGAAACTAACTAAAGCAAATGCACAATTTCAATCTAATGTGACATTTGGTGTTTCACTCTTAATTTGGCAATCATACTTCTAATTCTCGTAGATACTAAAGGGATAAAGTTGTATCATAAGTACTTTTAAGATTCTCAAAGGATGATACGAAGCACCAACAGGTAGAATCTTATTCCCAGCTTCTCTAAGAATCAATAACACTATCAGTGTGTAGGCATAACAAACAATATAATTAGAGTTGCAGTTCAAGAATCCTAAACACAATCAGTGTGACTGGCAATCATACTTCCATTCACTTATTTACCGACATCATCACATTGAAATTCAACAACCAATTTTCCTTCACAAATCAGGCCCTCCAGCACAGAACGGGCTTAAGTGAATGATAGATGGTTATCACTCTTTTCAACTATATGCACATATGCACAAAAAGATGAGACATAATTAGAACGAATCAAAGTCGTGAAGGAAGCAAAAGATATCAAAACAAAATACCTATGAAGTATAGTAAAATTTGAGTACTCTTGGAGGTACATAAGTCCTTGAGTCACCCCTTAAACGATCCCAACTCCTTGTTCCATTCCAACTCTAAGATCCTCTAGGATCTGGCCATTGAAATTCATCAGCAAGGCATATTTCAGAATGAAAAACTAAAAGTTGGAAACTTTTTAGCAACTCTTTGAAATATAGTTTAATAGACACCCAATAGGCAGAAGTTCAAGCTTCTATTTAACATGAACTCGGACCAAGATGTTTTCTTCTCAGTGCAGAATCCCGCCTCAAAATGAGCAGATTCAAGTGTTGAAGCCTCTCAGTGAGAGAAACCTCATTCACGAACTCTACAATCCCTCCAGTCGACGGTTCTTAAAGCCTCTTCGTCGTTATTTCCTCCCTTCAGTAAACAAATCCTGAAAAGCGGAAAAATGTAACCAGAATCCTTGGAAACTCAAACATGATTTAGAGATACGACAGAAATTCCTTTTACTGACCTACAATAGGGTTGAACCCACCGTCTCCAAGCACATTCTCGGTGAAGAATTTGTTCGTGGAAGCTTTGATTTTGGGGATTGTAGATGGCCGCAGATTTGGAGGTTCTGCTGTTAAAGATGGCAGGCGAAGAGTGCGAGGCTTCGACTGCGCTTGCGTCTGAAGCTTCTACCCCTCTACTCCGGTTTTTACTCATCTCCCTCCTCCCATCGAATCACCCTCCCCTACCATGACACCACGGGCACGTCCAGGTCTCCTCTCGTCGGCCCTTCTTCAGTTTGGATCCCAACCCTTTCCCTCTCCCAATTTCTGCCCTCCATCGCCGCCAGGGAATCATATAAATCATCGGTTGGAGAAAAGGGGAAGTAAAGATGCGTTCGGGACGCAGAGGGAAAGGAGAGCACAGTCTTCTTCGATTCTCTTCTGCTTAGTGGCACACAAAATCAACGAAGCCGGAAAACCGTTGTTGTAAATGGGTTTTCGGCGACCCAGGTATGGTGGAGCTATCAAGTCTTCTCTTGTTCGAGGAAAGGTCACTATTGTAGAAATCATGTCTAGTGGCGTGTAGAGCAGTTGTGATAGGATGGAGAAGACTAAACTGGTGACTTGTGATTGTGGATTTCGGGGAAAGGCAGTGAAGGAATGGGGTTGGTTCCACCTCTTAGACTGTGAAACACATTGAAACATGGCAAACCTAGCCTAAAACCACACCTTTCGGAACTCAAATGCCACAAAAGCCAAAGATAAATGGGGATCAAAAGTGTACATTAATGCCTGAATCAAATATGTTACACACCAGATCCAGAAAACCAAAATAAATGTGTATAAACGCATATGTCGTGTTGAGACTTTATATGCATACATGTTGAAATCGAATATGAACATTCAAATACCAATGATTTGACCACCTCTCGAGGCTAGCTAGAGCTAGTGCCGGTGTTGGCGAGGTGAGCGGGCAACAATCATTTCGTACTTGTTAACAAGTTTCAAAATGATCACGCAAATCACGAACAAAAGCATCGTCACGCCCATTCTAATAGGGTTCTCCTTATTTCTTCCAGCATACACATACCCCAATGTGGAGTGGAACGATTGCCACATTGAAGCAACCAGTTCAAAGTAATCAGCAGCCGACCCAAATAATAACCTGTGGCTTGGGAAACGTTTGTAGTGCCACGATGAGCCTCTGATTCTCTCAGCAACCTCTTGTTCGCTGCGAGCCTTGTGGAGTACTATGTCGTGGTCCTCGTGGATACAGAGAAGGAAGCCAATGTAAGCCATCACCATGGCTGCCAAAGCTTGGCCTAGCTGCTCGAAGACAGCGGAAAGTGCTTCGATGAATAGCGACGACGATATCGAAATCCAACCTTCATCATTGTCCTGATGAATGTAAGGGAAAATTTCAAGACCCAAGCGATGAAGAGAAAGAAAAGAAAAAATAGAATAAAGTTTTCATTTCTTCTATGCGATCATTTAAGATAAATTCAAGTCTCATATTAGTTAGTAATATTAATACACAAGTTACTTCCATACAATTAGTTATGTGTTGGGTAGGCCAAGTCAGGCTTCTCCATTCTCTAACCTATGCGTTTTGGAAACAATTTGTAATTGGGAGCGGTAGGATACATGGGAATTGGAATCGTTGTTGTGGTTAGCTATGATTATAAATAATGGTGTAGCCATGATTCAATTTAAATTGGATCCTGTTTACGAATAATTTTATAGCATTTTATTCATATATAAAATCAAATAGTTATGTCCTATCCTACCAAAAACAATCAAGTAGTTATTCATCAAATTATCAATTTTATCATAATCTCGTTATCTCATAAACAGTTGTTTGCGTAACTTTTTGTTTTTCATCTCATACACCGTAAGATTTTTTTTTTTTCCTTTAGATAACTATCTCTATACTTTTTCATTCCACATCACAAAACGTAAAACATAAGTCTTCAGTACTAAGATGATACATGAACTTTATGGAGGGATAGTAATATCTATTAATTAAACAAACATATTATATAAAGTCTTTCATGATATATTTTTGAGTGAAAATTCATAAATTATAAACTAAACTGTTGAAGATCTCATCACTATGAATTTCAAAAAAGTTATGTAAGATCAGTCATAAAAGTTCAATTAGATGTGATGCTTTCATCAATTTGCATTATGCAAATTAAAGCTTGTGTAATATAAAGTCAATCTTACATAATAGTTTAATCAAATGTGATACTTATCCGTACCTTATTTTTATTATTAGACCATAGATTGCGTAAGATTGCATAACAATGTTTCTAAAAACTCCGTACCTTAATTTTATTACTAAAATGCTTCTACACAAAATCTCAGTTTTTGTAACCTATGTAGTTAAAAACTCCACTTTAAAACCTAAAAACTTGCGATTTTACGCTTCTAGATCACCAAAATGTTTCTACATACAAATTCGCTTTTGACTACATTGCTCAGGATCACCTGGAGCCGGGAGGCACCAATAGTCACATAGTCAAGCAAGACTAATCAAAAGAGGATTTAGCAGGAATGCAGTTTTATTAGTGAAAAGTAGTTCTTTAGGATCACCAGCTTCCCCTTGATGTTGTAAAGAGGTAACCACACCCCAAAGGAAGCACAAGGAGGGAGAAGGGAAAGGTGTCTTGCCTTGATATTAAATGCAAATGGCTTTTGACCAAAGTTGACTTCAATCCTGCCAGATTGATCAAAGGGGGGAAAAAATACCATCATCAAGTTTTAGGGTTGTTATGAAATTTGGTTATCCTGTTATGCTGAATGGAATTGGCGTAAACACGTAATTATACGTTCTCAACGGGCTGCAATAATCGATGCACATATATATAATATATATATGTGAGAAAGAGAAAGAGAAAGAGAAATTGTACTCTTCATTGAGACCATGAACAGCAACTGTAGGGAACAATGGACCTTCAATGTCCTTGCTCACAGCACCAACCATAGTTCCATTCTTACTGCCATGCATTCATTAGCAAACCACTAGTGTGATTAAGAATATATGGTATATTAAAATAGTAGTAATTAAAAAATTGTTCCTTTGTATTTGTATACATACGTGAAGAAGAACTCATTGGAGGCATAGTTGATACCAGCACCAACAATGTCGTTGGTTGTAAAGCTAGGGCCAAAGGACTCTCCCTCTCCTCGACCACGATAAACAAAGCCATTGTCTCCATGGTATCCGCAACTGTTAGCTCTCCACCTTCGAAATTTGGGGGCAAAGAAGTCATTACTTACAGGTTTTTGTCTTCATTTCGTTGTCTGTGTACATGCATTTGAAATCCAGAGATATCGTACATACTAAAGTATAATTTTTTTCAAACACTTAATAAAAACGAGTGAAATAATTAGGATCCTAATTTCAAAATCTAGAGGCCAAGTATTTAGGGGTTGTTCGATCTCTAAGAATGTTTGGGTGAGATTGTTACTATTGTTGTGTTGTTTAAAAATTATCGTTTTCTAATAGTTTACACAGTCAATATATGTGTTGTTTGTTTGATGTGAGAGCCAAGAAAATAAATTTTCCACAACCCCTCTTGGGTCGAAGACTAGAAAAACAAATAAAATAATACCTCCTAAAATTCCCCCATTCAGCCATTGTTTTTGTGCTAAGAATCATTCAAAAATTTAATTGTACAATTTCAGTTTTTAGTACTTGAGACTCTCGTCTGCAACTGTTAGCTCTTCACCTTCGAAATTCAAGGGCAAAAAAGTCATTACAAGATCCTTTTATCTCGTATGTGTACATACATTTGAAACCCAAATATCATCAATCCAAATGTAACATTAAAAAAAAAAAAAATAGAGACCAAAGTATTGATTGAGGAAGAACTTAGTTCCATTTGTACACATTAAAGGGAGGTGGAATCAAAGGGGTTTATTTATGAAATATAGTGAACAAATCAAAACGGTGGGTGAAAAACGGTCAAAGAATACGAAATCAGAAATAACACCAGGGTTTTTTAACGTGGTTTCGTCAATATGACACTAGTACACTGTGAGGATCTCTCTCACTGGTTGTATGATTTTCTTATTGCTTTAATTCTCTTTTCCGCTGTACACGAGTATAAATAGGTTTCTAAACCTTAACCCTAACCGAGGCTGCTTACAAGGTAAATTACATATTGGTACTTCAACAATATAATTAACAAAAAACTATCCACAAACATATTAACTCAACAACATATGATATTTATTCAATCACATAAAAACGATTAAGCAAAGCATCGAACTGAACAATTCAAAATATGATATCTATTTTTGAAGTTTCATTATAATATAATAATTTTTTTTTTTTTTGTTGAAAAGGTTCATTATTATTCTTGTAAGTAACGATATCAATACTAAATTCAAGTTCATGATTTCAACGGCAAGAGAAGGGGAGACTTTTTGGCGGGAACGGTTAATTAATTACGTACCCGGGCTGCATACACAAGTCAAAGTCTTCCCTGGTGAATCCAATCGCAACCCGCCGCTTGGACCCCGCATTCCTGACCCGCATCTCGAAGTAGTACGGAGCCAGCCGGCTAGCCGGCGCTGGCCTGTTCGCCTGCACAGCCCCGACGTCGTAACTGTGATAACTCTCCGCCGCGTACTTGACCGATAGCTTATCCGGCGAAACCACCAGGAAACTCTCGGCTGAGCCGTCCACGGTGGCGTTGAGCTCCGTCGGCAATTCCTCTTCCTCTGTGGTCGTCGCCGCAGCAGAGTCCTGCCTGATCCAGAGCGGCAGCAAGTAAGAGCCCGAGCTGCTCCGCCCTCTGGCAGCGGCGTTGGTCGCGGTGCAGCTCATTGACTCGTGAGAACTGAGCGCCAAGACGAAAGAGAGAGCAATCTGATCAAAGATGCAGGCCGGGTTATTTATTCCTTTCTAGCCTCTGCTTCTAATGCTTCTTCTCCAAAGAGCAACCATCTTAATACCAAAATGATTAGTCTTAATTAAAAAATACCCTCACCACCGACGACGTAGACTTTTATGTGTAACCAACGTTTGTGAAACTGTGTCACATCGTTTGTGTAACCACCGACGACTTATACTTTAAATGCTACTTTAGGCATTTGAACCTGAAAATGCTGAAGACTAGCAGTAATACCACTAGATCAAATTCTTCTTCGCTTACAATGAACTTATTTCATCTACAAATTGTTTATTTAATTCTGGTTTGTAGAAAACGATAAAAGAGAAAACACGAGACACCATTTCCCCGTTCGGTATGAACGTGATTAGTCCACGAAGAGCATGAGCTCTTAGGATTATTATTGATGATAATGATAATTAGGGTTCGGCCCAACCTTTACCTCAAGATATACAGAAACCATTCTCACACACTCGGTCACGTGAGATATGGCAACAATAAAAAATGGTCCCTCAACTTACTATCAACTACAACCAAGTAAGGAGAATGAACTGCAATACGCCTCCTCAAGCGAAGGAATGTATGTCAAGGAGACCGAGTTTGACCAGAAGATGATTGAACTAATCAACGCTAAGACCCTTGGTCAAAAAGATCAACACGTTGTTCTGCAGTAGGAATCGTGAGAGGAGCAATGTCACGAGATTGAATGCGCTCTCGCACGAAGTAGCAACCCATTTCTACATGTTTAGTGCGCTCATGAAAGATATGATTAGATGCGATGTGGAGAGCAGCCTGATTTTCGCAGTACAATGGAGTAGGCTGAGAATTGTGAACACCCATGTCGCGAAAAAACTAACGAAGCCAAAGAACCTCACTAACTCTGTTAGCCATGACTCGATATCCAACCTCCGCAGACGAGCGAGCAACAACAGACAATTTCTTGGTATGCCAAGAAATAGGAGAAGAACCAATATTGATGAAATAACCAGTCATGGACCGACGTGTAGTGGGGCAACCAGCCCAGTCCGCATCACAATAAGCAGTCATGGAGAGATCGCCAGTCGAAGGAAGAAACAGATCTATGCCAAGCGCGGATTTAATGCATTGCCTGACTGAGAATGTTGATGGCATATGTGATATCCGGGCGAGTCACTGTCAGATAAAGAAAACGCCTAATTAACCGTCGATAAGCAGAAGCACCAGAAGCAGGTGCAGAAGGATCACGACCCAAGTGGTGTTTCCATTCGATGGGTGTGGCGCTTGGACGACTAGCAGTAAAACCAGCCTCGTGTAATATGTCGAGAACGTATTTTCTTTGATTAAGGACGATGCCCTTGGGTGAACGAGCCACTTCAATACCAAGAAAATATTTCAACTCTCCTGATAATCGACTTTAATCTATTGAATTCTTGAGCTTTATGTGACTATCCCATGATATGTTTAAGACGATTGGTGATATATTAGGGCTCGCTAACCCGGGGATGGTTGAAAAACTATTACTGCCTAGTGCCATGAGTTTGATGTATTACAGATGAAAAAGTACGAAAAAGGAGAAATTGCACAGGTAAAAATCGGGCCGAATCACTGGTGGAATAATCACTTCGGCTAGGAGTAGCAGTGGGCCGAGTTTCTCTACGGGTCGAGCCTGATACTTGGAAAATAAATGGGCAACTGGATTGGGATTGGAGGGAAAACACGGAGAAGCAGCTCGTGAGGAAGAAGCGGACCTGGAGTGGGCCGGAAGTGGCTCGGACTGGGCTGGGAAATTTTGGCCCGGAGTCCGTTGACACTGAGGAGTGGAACGCAGCGTATGATGATTCGGGGGGGGGGGGGGGGGGGGTTTTGATGACGAAATAAAAAGAAGGGGTGGACACCAAATTGGGGACACGGAATTTGACAGGAAAAAGGCGGACTATTTTTGGACGAGCAGGCCATTGGCGAGCACCTTCTCCAAGGCGACGTGAGCTTTCAACAAAAACCAGTTATTTGGTTGGATTTTCTAGTCCGAGTTATTTGTTTATTGTTGATTTCGAACATGATGATCAAAACCATATTGATTTATCTCAGTTTCATCATGAACTAAACTCCAATTTCTGGGGGACACACCATAGGACGTAGTTATTTCTTGACTTGAATGATTGATTCATAGTTATTTTCTTCCAATATCTATTGCATGAAATTACTTAATGCTTTGTGTTGACTGGCCATTTTAAATTACTTAAAGTCCCGGTGTTTCTCCATTGAATTTCTCCCGGCCATTTTAATTTGCTTGTTTTGTTTAATTATTTTTGCTATTAGATAATATTTTTATCAATCAAACCATTTTCACCTATAGTTTTCTCCATAGAATTGATTAATCATAAGGTTGTGCCGGTCCCTGAGAGACGATACCTCGACTTTTCGGTTTCACTACGAGGTAGGATTGAGGCATTACGCTTTTGCCCTATCAAGTTTTTGGCGCCGTTGCCGGGGACTGCCATACCTTGTTTTTATTGATTATTGAGAGTGAACTATTTTGATCTGGGTGTTAGTGTGCAGGTGAATTTTTCAGGTTTATCCTCCTCGTGCATGCCTAGGAGGACGACCGACAAGTTACTACCACTAGATCCACAGATAGAGAAGACCTGCCGACAGAATAGGAAGCAGGTAAAGTTAGGGAAGCAGCCAACCACAACCACAACTCCTAGGCCTTCGATGACCAAGAATCGTCAACAGAGAGGGCAGGCTTCATCACTTGTCGTCCCTACACCACCACCACCACCACCTCGTGACATCGAACCTGTCATCATGGCAGACGAGGATCGTTCGATCAGGGCTCGTTTGAATAGAAGGAATGGAGCCCGAGCTTCATGTGTTGTCATTCCGGCTTGGAATGCAACCATCGAGATTACCCCAACATTCATCAATATGATCACCAATGGGTATACTTTCTCCGGGGCTAGTACTGAGGATCCTCACGAACATCTCCGTCGGTTTGCGAGCATATGTGATACGATGAAGAGCCCGACTGTGTCAGATGATGCAATCCGTCTTCGGATGTTCTCATTTTCTCTGCTAGGGAATGCATCACACTGGTTCCAAAACTTAACACCCCATTCCATCACGATATGGGCTCAGCTTGAGAAGACCTTCCTGGATAAGTACTTTCCTCCTGCCAAGGCAATGAAGAGGCAAGAGGAAATAGTTACTTTTAAACAAGCTGAAGACGAGAGTCTGACTGAGGCATGGGAGCGCTATAAGGGGCTTTTAATGAGATGCCCAAGCCATGGTCTTAAAGATTGGAACGTGATCACTGTCTTCTTCAACAAAATCATAAGGGAGTTTCGAGATGCTTTGAATAATGCTTCCCGAAATGGTTTCACAAGGATGGAAGCACCAGCAACATATGATGTTCTGAAGATACTGAATGGGGTAGTGAGACCAGTATTCAAAGAAGAGGAGGCTTACATGAGATAGACAGAGTTGCGAGTTTAGAAGCAAAGATTGATGCTAACTGGATTCCAAGTTCGATGCACTCGAACAAAGGCTGGCCAAGATTGCTCTTGGTAGACAAGAGGAGGTTTCTTTTTTTGAATTGTGTGATGGTGCTCATCATAGGATCTATGTCCATTGGGAGCTGCTCAGTTGGAAGATGTCCACTATATCAACAATCAGCGAAATCAAGGCCAGGGTGGTATGTATTCAAATACCTATAACCCGCAATGGAGGAAGCATCCTAACTTTTCCTGGTCAAACAACAAACCCACTAGTGCTCGCAACATTCCACCTCTAGGGCTGCAGCAACAACAACCTCAACCCGAGAAGAAACCACAACTTTAAGAATTGATTCTGGCTCACATGCAGAAAACCGACAATAATATGAAGGGCCTGGATCAATTTGTCACTCAACAGTTAGCCATCAACAATAATTTACAATTGTCTATGCTAGCTATGGAGAGGCAGATGGGACAGATGGCTAAAACTCTGGCGGATATGCAAGGCAGGATTCCTGGGACATTATCGGCTAATACCGAGAGGAATCCAAAAGATGCCAAAGTTATGGTGGTGACATTGAGGAGTGGCAAGGCCTTGGAAGACCCCAGCAGCTCAAAAAAGGCATCAGAGGCAAAAGACAAAGCACTGGGAGAAAGATCTTGTGTAGAAAATGAAGAATTAGCTTTGCACAAGAAAATTGACGGCAGTTTGCCTATGTAGAAACAATCTGCCTGTGCTAAACCAGCAGGGGAAAATGTGAAGAGGGAGAAGCTAAAACCTTATGAACCACCCACATCATTCCCTCAAAGTTTGATGAAGCCCTTGGAGGTTCCGAACTTCCAAAAATTCGTGAATCTCTTCAAGCAATTGTACATCAACATTCCGCTAGCTGAAGCTCTTGAGCAAATGCCCACGTATGCAAAATTTATTAAGGAATTGTTGACAAAGAAGAGAAAATGGACTGACCTGGAGAAAGTAACAGTCACACTAGAGTGTAGTGGGGTGATCCAAAATAAATTGCCAGAGAAGAGGGAAGATCCGGGGAGCTTTACCATCCCATGTATTGTTGGTGAGACAGAGTTCACAAAGTCACTTTGTGATCTTGGAGCCGGCATAAACCTCATGCCATATTCTGTTTATAAGAAGCTGGGATTCCAAGATGTGATCAAGCTGACTCGAATCACTCTAGATCTGGCTGATCGATCAGTGAAGGTTCCCAAGGGCGTGGTGGAGAACGTGCTAGTCAAGGTGGGAAAATTCATCTTCCCTGCCGACTTCGTCATTCTGGAGATGGAGGAGCACATGGAAGTACCTCTCATTCTTGGGAGACCCTTCCTAGCTACATGTGGTGCTCTCATAGATGTCCAAAAGGGCGAGCTAACATTCATAGTCAGTGGGAAAGAGGTAAAATTCAACGTATACAATGCAAGTAAGTACCCTAATGACTCTAGTGATGTGTTTGCTGTGGATGTAATAGAATCATGCACTGATACTATTTTGAACAATGATTATGTTGCTAATTCTGAGTTTGATGATTCTGATAATGAACTTGATGAGCTAACTGTGTCAAAGAGGGAACAAATGCTCGAAGCATTGCCTATGCAGGTGGAAGGTGATGAAAAGGCTAGGTTTCCAAAGC